CTCGGAAGGCTGAGGCGGAAGGATCGCCGGAGCCCAGCAGGGTGAGGCTGCGGTGGCCGGGAGTGGCCACTGCACTCCAGTCTGGGTGACAGAGTGAGATTCCAACGCAAAAAAAAATAAAAAATAAAAAATAAATAAATAAATAAAAACATTAATCAAATTATATCATTCCATTTCTATAACCCTCAAATGGTGCCCTATCAAGGAACAGAATTCAAATTCCTAGTATGCCTACATGATTGGACCCTGCCTGCCTCTCCAATTTCAGTTCCAACCACTCGGACCTTCTCTCTGCCTTCCTCACATGCCAGGCTCCTTACCAAAGGCCTGTGTGACTTTGTTTTCTCTGCCTTAAGTGCTGTTTTCCCCTGCTTCATCCCTGCGTGATTAGCTTCTTTATATCATTAAGGCCTCAGTTTCAGAGAATTTTTTTAAACTTTTAGTTGAAGTCTCACTCTGTTGCCCAGGCTTGAGTGTAATGGCACAATCGTGGCCCACCATAGCCTCGACCTCCTGAGTGCAGGTGATCCTTCTGCCTCAGCCTCCCAAGTAGCTAGGACCACAGACATATGCCACCACACCGGGTATTTTTTTTTTTTTTTTTTTTTTTTGTAGAGACCAGGTCTTGCTATGTTGCTCAGACTTGTCTTGAACTCCTGGGCTCAAGCATTCCTCCCACCTCAGTCTCCTAAAGTGTGGAATTGCATGCCTGAGCCACCATATTTGGCCAGAGAATTTTATATAAATTAGGGTCCTATCTCATTTTCTTTTCCTCATTGTGTTTATCGCTATCTTAAATTATTTGGACATTTGTTTACTAGTTGATTGTCTACTCCCATTCTTCCCACCCACCCCACACACATACCCATACACAGATACATGCACTAGAATGAAAGCGCCATGAGGTCTGAGTTCTTGTCTATCTACCTCGGTGCCTAGAGTAATGGCTGGCACTTAGTAAGTCCTCAAAAAAATACATGTTGAATGAATGACTGATGGTGTGCATAAATACAGAGTGTTGAAGGAACATTGTGAAGAGAGGGACAAACTCTGCTATCATCTTCGCTTTCTAAGTTATAGCAGAGAAATATTTTGATAATTTTGAGTCTTTGCTTTCTATGGGATGGTATATACCTTGTAACTTCGAGTCTTTGTTTAAAGGTTACTTCCTCAATGATAGCTCTCCTGACACACATACCTAACTCTGCTAGTTCCTTCATTTTTATCATACTTCGTAATGATAAATTGATTTGTGGAATCATTGTTTAACCTTTGTCTCCTCAAGTAGACCATGAGCATCAGAGGGAAAATCATGTCTTTTTGATCATCGCTGTCTCCCTGGGGTTTAGTACCATTCTAGACATATGAAAAATTCAATCATCGTTAGATGAACCAGTATTCACAGCACAGATTCTGAAAAACTTCCAAACAAATGAACAAGAAAGAAAATTGCATGTGTGTATCAGCACATGTATTTTAAAGCAGAGAAGACGTTACACATTTTAATAAAATACTTAGATTTTCAAATTTCAGAATAGCAAGCACATATTTCCAAAGTTCAGTAATTGTGAATGCAAATAGTTGGGTCATGATCTTGGCCCTGACATCAACTTTCCCTCGACCTGGGGTCAGTTATTCAATTACACTGGGTCTCTGTTTAACCATCATCCCTCCAGCTGTACTGTGAGAATTAATGAGCTAATATTTGCATGGTATGCAGAAGGAATTCTGCTACAAAGTCCTAAAGAAAAAAAATACAATTCCCAGCCGCGCATGATGGCTCATGCCTGTAATTCAAGCACTTCGTGAGGTTGAGGCAGAAGGATAGCTCAAAGCCAGGAGTTTGCTGGAAGCCTGGGCATCATAGTGAGATCCTATCTCTACAAAAAAAAGTTATATTTTTAAATTAAAAAAATTCAATTTCTAAACCCTAAATCCATGAGTTTTATTTTGCTTTATATTGGCTAAAATATATTTTTCAGGTACTCTTCTGCTCACTCCTCTTCATCTCTACACCAGTGAAGTTAGGACGCCTCAAGCCTGGGCTCTCTGTAGTTCTCACTGCATTACCTGCCTCTGAGCTCCCCTCATCCATTCTCTCACTCTATGGCACCAACAAGGCTTGCTCTGTGCAGCTGCGCTGGGGGGATGGAGCACCGCAGTGATGCCAACTCTGCTCTTCAACTAGGACCATTATCTGGATGGTCAAATCTACAACTTGAGCCCTGATGGCCTCATTAGGCCTTGACTCTGCCATTTACAACTGCTTGCCACACACATTCTACTGGGTTTTGTGATGACACTTCCAATTCAACATGTTTGAAATTAAGCAGGTCATTATTTGCTCTGAAATGGTAGCCTTCTTAGCCATAAGGCTATCATTTTCTCAGTCATCCACCTCAAAAACCTGCAGGTACCTTTGGCTCCAACCCCATGTATCTAATCCACCACCAACCACTATCCAATCACCAACCAAGTCCTCTGTTTCCTCATGAACAATAACCTCATGAACAATAACACTTCCTGCTACCTCTGCCACCTCCCTAGTCTAGGCTCCTATCACCTTATACCAAGGTGATTGCAATGTCTCCTGACCAACCCAACTTACTTGTGGACTCTCACCACATTCAGTTTGCTTATTTATTTAATGTGTTTTTTGAGACAAAGTCTTGTTCTGTCACCTAGCCTGAAGTGCACTGGGACGATCATAGTTCACTAAACCTCCAACTCTTGAGCTCAAGCAGTTCTCCCACCTTGGCCTCCCATGCTGTTAGGACTGTAGGCACATGCCACCATGCCCAGCTAATTTCTTTTCTTTTTCTTTTTTTTTTTTTTTTTTTGATTTGGAGTCTCAATCTGTTGCCCAGGTTGGAGTGCAGTAGCACACTCATGGCCACCCCAGCATTAACCTACTGGGTTCCAGTGATCCTTCCACCTCAGCCTTCCAAGTAGCCGAAACTACAGGTGCACATTACCACGCCCAGCTAATTTTGTACTTATTGTAGAGACAAAGTCTTGCCAAGTTGCCTGGGCTAGTCTCGAACCCGACAGGCTCAGGCAATCCACTTGGCTCGGCCTCCCAAAGTGCTGGGATTACAGGCTGAGACACCGAACCTGGCCTTTTGTTGTTGCTGTTGTAAAAGCAAGGTTTCACTATGTTGCCCACGCTGGTCTCAGACTCCTGGCTTCAAGAAATCCCCCTGCCTTAGCCTCCCAAAGTGTTGGGATTACAGGTATAAGCTACCACACCTGGCCACGTTCAGTCTTTCTACACCTAAAAGATCTGATATTCCTAAAATGTAATCGGTTTAACATTTTCACCTCTCAGAAGCTCTCATGGAACTAGATAAAGACTAGATTTTTCATTGATGTTCAAGGTCATATAAAACTTGCCACTGCCTGCCATTCCAGGCACATCACCCTCTATACCATGATGGACCCTCTCTCATTGTCCCCAGGATCGGAAGTAGGAGCTCTGGACAGGCCATGTACACTCAATCCCTCCCTTGCCATTTATTCAATGGCAGCCTTTGGACATGTCACTTCTGCCCTTTGCACTTCCTTTTCTCATTTCCTTTGAAAATGCAAATCACAAAGGTCCCTGCCTCAAGGAGTCAGGATTAAATAAATCACTCCTGTAAAGAGCTTGGCATCCAGCCCCCGAGTGTTCAGCAGGTATCAGCCAGTGTGATTGCGTCTCTTTGTGGCCATGTCTGCTCCTTTCCTTACACTGTCCCTTCCATCTGAAGTCCCTTTCCCCTCATCCACCTTTACCCAAATCTTAACCGTAATGGGTCCTCAAAGGCACAGCTCAAATGCAACTTCCTCTGTGAACCCCTGCTGAGGCACATCAATTCCTTCTCTCCCTCTCACGGTTACTAGTCTCACCACATATTTGGTGTTTAGTTTCAGCACATGTGTTTCCTTTTCAAGCTATCTTCTTTATTTCAATTACATTAATAAGTTGTTTGAATGAAAGAGCTTTGTCATAAATAGTACAAAAGTCTCAGCAAATGAGTGGTTAATGAATGTCTGTTATGCTGAGCTCAGCACTACTTTTCACACAAAATTCTTTTTCTTTTTTTTTTTTCAAGAATTTCACATGATATAACAAAGAGGAGTAGGGGAGATCTAAATCATTAGGAGACAGTATTCATTACCCAGCAATCACTTACCTTACAAAATACCAAAATAGAAATGTTGCCTAGTTAATACAAGATGTGGGTGGGTGGTGTCTAATCTGTTCTGATCTCAACTTGTCAGGCAGTTCAGTCAAAGGGGAAGAAAGAGAGGCCTCCGCCAGAAAGATCTGCTGAAGAAATACTCTAGCATGACAGGAAACACCCCAACAAGGGTGTATAGATTAAGAAATGCTTGCAACCATTCCCACAGAATAGGTATTTAGTCAATGTTTGCTGAATTAACAAAAAGAAAGAAAAAGAAAGAAAGAAAGAAAGAAAGAAAGAAAGAAAGAAAGAAAGGAAAGAAAAGAAAGAAAGAAAGGCAGGAAGGAAGGAAGGAAGGAAGAAAAAGAAAGGAAGAAAGAAAGAAAGAAAAGAAAGATAGATGGAAAAGATTTTGTTGGGGAATTAAATATTTAGAATGTTTATCAATCTTTTAGCGGAATATAACTGAGGAGTCCCATTTTCTTTCCAAAATTTCCTTTTTTAGTCTTTGTCAGACATGGAAATCTAGACTGGATGATGATTGATGAGGTACTTATAGTTTCTATGCACCACTGCCCAAATTTCAAGCATAATATAAATTATATCAGGTGCTCATACAGGGAAAAAATATTTGAGACATATATCCTAAAAATGTTAGCTGTCTTTTAGGACCTTAATTGTAATGTTAAAGTCCTAGTGTTGCTTCACATAATTTTTTATATACCACATGGCAGCTAAGTTTTATTTCCTTGAACTTAATTGAAACCCAAAGGACAGCCTTTCTGTATCATATAAAAATAAAGAACATTAATGAAGAAATCATCTGATACTTACACTCCCTTTACACTTTCTGGATCCTACAATAGGAGGTAGTGAAGACACTTTCTGACTGTGGAAACAAATGACAATTTAAAAATCTGAATGTTATTTGCAAACAATATATAATGCGATATAATTGTTATCCCAACCTGTTGACTGTTTACTGACATCTGTGTTTTATAAAAGGTACCATGTACTTTCCCAATTTCACATAGGCTACCATAAAAATTCCAAATTTTAGTTCAAAAGATTTTTAATGTTTTCTTGTATAAAATTTTAATTAATGCTTATAAATAAATTTATAGTACCACCTTAAATTTTTTACAGCATTTTTATTCCAGTCTCAATGTTTATTACTTGCAGATCAAAAAAAATCATCACCCAATCTGAGTAACGATTTTGCCAGACTGAGTTGAAAGCAATAAATTTCTATTGTTTTTATAATGTCTACCTCTTGTTGGAAAACAGAATAGTAAAACACTGGCATATGCATTCAAGGAGTTATTTTTTTTCTTTTTTCTTTTTTTTTGAGTCGGGGTCTCACTCTGTCACACAGGCTAGAGTGCAGTGGCACAATCATGGCTACCTCAGCTTCGACCTGCTGGGCTCAGGCGATCCTTCTACCTCAGCCTCCTGAGTAGTTGGGACTACAGCACACACCTCCATGCACAGCTAATGTTTTGAATTTTTTGTAGAGCCGTGGCCTTGCGATGTTGCCTAGGTTGGTCTTGAACTTCTGGGCTAAAGTAATCCTCCCGCCTTGGCCTCCCTAAATGCTAGGATTACAGGCATGAGCTACTGCGCCTGGCCACGTTTTCAAACCAGTTATTCTCACCAAAAAATAAAAAATTATTTTAGAACATAAGAATAAATGGTCTTGCAGATGTATGCATTATTAGAAAAAGACCAATCTTGAGAGACAACCGAACCTTTCCAAAAATAGGACACATATTTAAAGGCAATTCTTACTAATTTTGTATAAGAAAAGTCAACATGAGTTAGTTTTCTTATTACCATCAAGTACACACTGTAGTTCACAGCAGGTTAATCCAGGGATGCTCAGCAGAAATGGTTAAAGGATTTGATTTCATGGATAGGTAAGGATGGTTAGCAATAAGTCTGCTGGTAAATAATTCTAAAGTGCTGGAAACCCATGTGCTCTTGCGTAGTTCAAACATGACCACTAAAATTCCATTTCATCTATTACTTATTTAGAAACTCTCAGTCAGCCTCTCGCCATCCAGCTACACAAGTTGGGAATTAATAGAAAGCACATTGGTAACATTCTGCTTTAGCTCTTCAGAGGACAACCACAAAAGGTTTGGTTTCCATCAGTAAGGTGGTCATACAAACTCTGTGAAAAGCGAGAGAGCATGTTCTTCGGGAACCATGAACAGGCTGAGAGGTAGGGTGTCAGGGACCAGAGTTCTTTATACCTAGCTCTGCCATGTTATCTACTCAGCTGAAAGAAAGCATCCTTCACAAATACATGACATTTCACAGAGAAAGCCATTCACAGTGCACTGTGTATAATTAAATGTGTAATCCTTAAAATCTTCCATGTCTTAACTCTGCACCTAGTCTCTCGATTGGTTTGCATAAGCAGAATTATATTGTTTTTATGTTTTACAATTATTATTAAAAGGAGTGTAGACGGGCTCAGTGGCTCAGTCTGTAACTCTAGCACTTTGGGAAGCCAAGGCGAGTGGATTGCCCAAGCCTGCAGGTTCAAGACCCACCCAGGCAACTTGGCAAGACCTCGTCTCTATAATTTAAAAAAAAAAAAAAAACTAGCCGGGCATGGTAGTGCACGCCAGTAGTTCTAGTCATTTGGAAGGCTGAGGCGGAAGGATCACCAGAGTTCAGCAGGTTGAGGCTGCAGTGGCCGGGTGCGTGCCACTGCACTCCAGTCAGGAAGACACAGTGAGACTCAAACTCAAAAAAATTTTTCTTTTAAAGGAGTGTAAAATGCTATAGTTTTTGTTTGTTTGTTTGTTTGTTTGTTTTTACACCCTTGAATGTTTCTATCCAAACAACTTGAAAAATTATTTGATCTAGCTACTGTTAAGACACTAAAACTTTTAATAATATTTGCTGGAGAGAAGCTCACGGCCCTGTATCTTCTTCATAAAAACAAAACTTGCTCTCAATCTCCCATCATGGCACTAAAACAAAATCAATATATATAATGCACGCTTTCTATTTTAAGTGATAAATAAGATCATCAATCACATAACATATAATGGTGGTCAGCAAAAGAACCAATGCTATTTCAAATGATAACTAATGCATAAGAAGTGAGTAAATAAGAATGAAGATTTACCCATAAGGCCTTCTCATTGTTGTCTTGTCAAAAAGTAATTCACCATAAGGCAGTTTCTTAAATTTATCTCTGCCGACAGCCACATAAAACTGCCCATTCTCCAGCTCTGCCCCACTCTCAACAAGTTTTCCTCCTAAAGTATAAAGTCTGTGAAAACATGAACGCCAACAATTAAAATGTTAACAAGTATTTTTAAAACTGCTTTAAACCATAAAGTAAACTAAAACACCTTCTTTAGTTCATCTGTTCGTCTGTTATTCTCATTGTTGAATTATAAATGCCTCAAACTCTTCACATTCAACTCAATGCCAATGTCATAATGTAGACACCATGACTATTTCACTGTACAGGGTTTCATCCAGTGAGCCTGACAATCTAGCATAAGAATCCCCTATTGCGGCCATATTAAGATTTTAGAGAGGAAAACATTAACTTGTACAGATTGTGGTGTTTTAAACAAAGTTCGGTTTCCACTGAAGATTGATTCTTGTATTTATATTTTGTGAGTGTTTTTAAATTTTATTTTCTTAGTGTATTCATCAGGCTGGCAAGCTTCTGAACACATTCTGTATAGGAATAATCCTCAGTCAAAGTATTACATCCAAACACACAGAACTGGGTCAGGAAAAAGGGGTGAGAGGGCAGGAGGTAAAAGAACCTGTTGCCAGTGTTAATGGTGCAGAACTGCATAGCATTCATGCTTTTTGTTGTTGTTCCTCCTCCTAAGCAAGAAAGTGAACATTATATCTTCCCAGAATTGAGAGGTTTCACAAGAACTTTCCTTTACTGTAAAACTGCTTCTACAAACTACAATTAATATGTTACTTATTAGAAGAACAGTGATAATTTTACGAGATGATTTAAAGTATCCACAGAATTTTTTTTAAAGAACAGGAAAAACTGACTATTAAAAACTAAAGCAGAGAGATAGTGCTAGTGCATATTATTGAAGGTTATAAAAAAGATTAGTAACTGGAAGGACTTCAAGATCATAAACAAAAAATTTGTGTCCCTATATTACACAATAAAAGTTAGTGACATTTGCAAAGGCCAAAAAAAAACACAAAATCTAGTGACCTGTCGACTTGTTTATTGATTATATAAATGGCCATATCCCATATCATACGGAACCATAAAATGCACCCCAAATTCCTGAAATGTATTTGTTTTTGGTTAGTATACAAATGTTGAAGTCTGTTTCTTTATAGCATTGTACTTCTACTCCTACAAGACTAAATATCAACACTTAACTGAGATTTGTTTTTTTCTGCCTTAACCTAGACTAGTGTTCCTAAACAATAGCACCATTGACATTTTGGACCGTGTAATTCTTTGTTGGAAAGATAGGGAGGGCATCCTGTACACTGGAAGATGTTTATCATCACCCTTGACCATTACCCACCAGATGGTGGTAGCCACCCCATCTTCAGTTGTGATCACCCAAATGGCTCCAGGCCCTGAAAAATGTCCCTGAGGGGCAAAATTGCACCTGATTGAGAACCACTGGCCTAGGTTCTTACTTCATTGTTCTCCAAAATAATTAGATCCCAATGGTAGTTAACTTTTATAGCTAGAAAGTAAAGGGCAGCATAACTGTGGGTTCTAGAAATAGCCAAGATTTGATTGTTTCCTCTGCAGGTAGGTAAAGGGTACCGGATAAATTCTAACCTCCGATTTTAGCCTTCTTTTATATAAGTTTTGTTGATCTATGTTCTTCTTATTTTGTTACAAATATAAGAAACACAGACAGAAAGTCAAATCAATTTTTATTAGATGTTTTTGATATATAAATATACTGATGCACGTAGGGCTCCAATCATAAGACTTACAAATGATCTGTTAAGGGAAAGTGGGCATGTCCCGAGTGAACAGCAACCAAAACTCTCATATCCGGCATTGCGTTAATAATTAAGTTCCTCTATGTATTCAAGAATTTGGGCAACATAACTATATTTTCACTCTATATCTGTATTTGCATATATTTTATTTCTGTGTTTGAATGGGCTTATATTAATGTAGGTATGAATAAGTATATCTGGCCATGAAATTCTCTTTGTGTGCTTTATATTATTTATTGGTTGGGTTTATATTTATGTGTATGTAAAAAGTCAAAACTAAATCTCTAATATACATATGTAATTATTGAGATCTGCCTTCACTTCTGACACCAAAGTAAAATTCAGAAAAACCAAAGCTTTAAATAAAATTTAAAAATACAAAATGAGGCCAGGCACGGTGGCTCATGCCTATAATCCCAGCATTTTGGGAAGCTAAGGTGAGAGGATTATCTAAGCCCATGGGTTCAAGACCAGCCTGGGCAACTTGGTGAGACCTCATCTGTACAATAAATCAAGAAAAATTAGCTGGCTGTGGTGGCACATGCCTGTAGTTCCAGCTACTTGGAAGGCTGAGGCAGAAGGATTGCCTGAGCCCAGCAGGTCAAGACTGTGGTGGCTGTGAGCGTGCCACTGCACTCCAGCCTGGGCAACAGAGTGAGACTCCAACTCAAAAAATAAAATAAAATAAAATAAAACATACACAAGAGGAAAATATGGGAGAATTTTTATAATCTGGATGTGAGGAAGATCTAAGCTAGTCCTAAGATTTAATGATCATAAGGGAAAACTAGACATTTGATTGCATCAAAATCCAAGATATTTGTATGAAAAAAGAAACATAAAGAAAATACAAACTAGAAACATATTTAAAAGTCACATCAAAAAAGGTCTATTTCAGCCAGGCTCGGTGCCTCAGACTGTAATCCCACGCCTTTGGGAGGCTGAGGTGAGTGGATTGCCTGAGCCCGCAGGTTCAAGACCCGCCTGGGCAGCGAGACCTCATCTCTACAATAAATCAAAAATCAGCCGGGCATGGTAGCACGCGCCTGTAGTTCCAGCTACTTGGAAGGCTGAGGCGGAAGGCTTGCCGGAGCCCAGCAGGTCGAGGCTGCGGTGGTCAGGAGCAGCCACTGCAGTCCAGTCTGGGCGACAGAGTGAGACTCCAACTCAAAAAAAAAAAAAAGGTCTATTTTCCCAATGTATAGAGTACCTATACATACATCAATGAGATAAATGCATGAAGGCCATGACAGATAATTCATATGTAATGAAATATAAATATGTGGCAGTAATTCGGAGAAAAACTTAGTCATTAAGAGCACAGGCTCAGGAGCCAGACTGCCTATTAGGCTCGAATCCCAGCTCACTATCAGTAGCTGCATAACCTTGGGCAGGGAGTTCCCTTCCCCCTCTTACATTTCATGTCTATGAAAAAATAATAATAACTCTACTTACCTCATGGAGTCACTGAGTTTATTAAGTTAAAAATATAAAACACTTGAAACAATGCCTGGCACACAAGAAATAGCCAATAGCTGTTATTGTTCTTGTATATTAAATAAATAAAAATCAAGAAACAATGAAATACTGTTTTTATTCAACACGAGAGAAATGTTAGTTTTACAAGTTTTACGTTATAGAAAAGTGTGTGAAAACATGCCCTCTCATAAACTTTTGGTGAGTGTATAAATGAGTATAAATGCTTTGAAAGACAATTGGTACTATCTATCAAAATTATAAATGCATTTGCCACTGAACACAGCAATTTAACATCTTGACTTTAGGCTTCTGATAAACTCTGCTTATATACAAAGACATTTATATACATGTAATAACAAAAGATTGGAAGTGATCTAAATTTCCATCAAGAGGAGACTGTCAAAATAAATTAGGATACACTCATTTAAATAGAATTCTTTGAAATCATTAAAAATAATAAAATAGAGCTATTTATGTGGTAAGAAAAAATCTCTAAAGATAGTGGTGATGCATGCTTATAGTCCCAGCTACTCAGGAGGCTGAGGAAGGAGGACAGCTTGAGCACAGGAAGTAGAGGCTTCGGTGAGTTGTGATCATGCCACTGCCCTCCTGCTTGGGTAACAGAGTGATACTCTGACTCAAGAAAAACAAAAACAAAAAACCTCTAAGATTTGTTGTTACAGGAAAAAAGCAAGAGTGGTTGTGTGTGTGTGCACATAAGTTTATTTACACATGTATATATGTACACGTTTCAATTTGTATTTTTTAAAAATATTCTATGCATATGCATAGAATATTTCTGGAATGATGCAAAAAACTACTAGGGAGAACGACTGGAAGTGCCTGATGTGGGAGAAACACTGTGCATTTTTACCCTATTCGAATTTTTTTTGTCACATATAAGACACAACTTTGGATTAAAACACATAATTATATTTAAAATTTCAATGGCTATGGAACTGTATATAGTAATATATGTAAATATACATTAATCTGTACACATATTTAATTGAAAAACATAGCATGCAGTCACTTGAGAATTCACTGTATTGTGTGTGCTTGTATAAAAGCACGAATGGGCCAGGCCGGTGGCCCAAGTCTGTAATCCCAGCACTCTGGGAGGCCAAGGAGAGAAGATTGTCTGAGTTCAGAGGTTCGAGACCAGCCAGAGCAACTTGGTGAGACCTCATCTCTACAATATATCCAAAAAAAAAAATTAACTGGGTGTAGCACGTGCCTGTAGTTAGAAGGATCTCCTGAGTCCAGCAGGTTGGCTCTGGAGTGGCCATGAGCATGCCACTGCACTCCAGTGACAGAGTAAGACTCTAACTCAAAAAAATAAAATAAAATAAAAGCACAGATGTACTCTACCAGTGCAGAGAATACATTCACAAACAAATTCTTATACACACATACTCTTAATATGTTATGCACATGTAGATATTATTTGCAACCCCCCAACTGAAGGAAAATAAATGTTAGACTCCATCAAGAGATAATTTTCATAGGTTTTATGATTTAAAAGCCATGATTTTCATCGCCACTTAAATTTCAGAACCCTAGGAAAAAGCTCTTGATTTCTTACATTTATACAACCCCACTAAATTACACTTTCTAACCTGCCTCATCCTTAAACCCACTAACACTTCCTGACTTCTGATTTTTTCACCCTAAGCAAATAGTTTAGATTACCAAATAATCATAAATTTCTCCTGAAAAAGTAAGGGACAATTAATAAAAAATCAAGAGTCTGATTCTCTCAAAAACTTTCCTTCTCAGCTGAAGCAATGTTGATGCATGTGGATTTACTCTAAACCAAAAAAATAAAAGCAGTTAATATTCGTCGATGTGCCACAACGTGCCAATGACTGCTTTAAGTTCTATGTGGATTACTTCATTCCTTAAAACAAACCTATCAGGTGAGTACTCTTATATATCCATTCTATAGATTTAAACTCAAGCATACAGAACCTAACTGGTGAGCCAAAAATCAAATCTAGGAACCAGTGACTCCAGAGTCTCCTGGGAATATCTTCAATACTTCCAAAATTCAACTACTTGTGAGACTAATTTATCATACCTGTGGACAGCCCCGCTCCTCAGAGTTACTTTTTCCGTGACCATTTGTAGTATATGATCCCACTGATTCAAGGCTTTTCTGGGGATGAGGAGACGAGAAGCTGGGTTTATGAGGTCTCCATTTGCAATCAAGCTAGAGAGAAAGGAGCCAAACCATTTGAAACAGTTATGTCTTTAAAACTACAAAACAAATTCCAAGCCTAAAGGAAACCACCAAGCCAATTTCAACTTAAAATGTAAAGCCTTCCAACTTACAAGATAGTGCAAGGTTCCTCAAGTGGTTTTCTAAAGCGAGCTGACACATTGATCCTGCTGTGGATTACTGGTTTTACCTTTAAAAGCAAAGAAAAGAAATATAAATCACTAAGCTTATATTAGCTTTCTTCCCCTCAGGAGGAAAATCTACATGTTTCCAGGAAACTGGCTGAAACCTGTTGTACATTTGTTAAAATCTTGTTTTTTTCCCCACTGATATAAATGCTCTAAGCTCCCCCTCTATCAATATTACATGCCCTTAACAATGCTCTCAAGAAAAGAAAAATTTCCCCTAAACTCTGGGCATCCTGTGGATGATCAGTGCCAAAAACAGAAACTGCTGACTATTATAACAACTTTAAGGCAATTTTAAAACAATGCTTTCTGAAAACAACAATAAAATAATTCTATAAAATCCTGAGCTCTAAAGTACCTTCGCCTGCAGCACAACATTCTGTGTTTTGTCAGTGCTTATTTCCCATAATTGCACCTGCTTTCTGATGCCACGGTCCCTCAGCAGGTGCCTGAACTCACTTATGTCTTAAGTCTAAGACTGATCTCATTAATTTTTTCAGGGCTCCCCATCCCCTATCCATCAAGCACACTCACACCAGCACCTGCAATGAGGGCCGCAGCTTTTACCTCTGGGTAGGTCTGATCACCTGATCACCTTCCCCTCTCCTTGTGATTTTGGGGTCCAGGCTGCTGTTAGAAAGGACCACATGGCCCCGCAGGGAACCTTCACCTGAGACCACTTTCAGCAACAAGCCATACGCGCAAACTCAGTTCTGCTCAGCCAGCCCTTCACTCAATGGAGACCAAAGGGGTCAAAATCAAGATGGGGTGTCAGCTTTTTTTTTTTTTTTTGAGTTTGAGTCTCACTCTGCCGCCCAGACTGGAGGGTGCGCTCCCGGCCACCGCAGCCTCGACCTGCTGGGCTCTGGCGATCCTTCCACCTCAGCCTTCTGAGTAGCCGGAATTACAGGCGCGTGCTACCACGCCCGGCTGATTTTTTGATTTACTGTAGAGATGAGGTCTCGCTGCCCAGGCGGGTCTCGAACCCGCGGGCTCAAGCAATCCACTCACCTCAGCCTCCCAAAGGCGCGGGTTTACAGGCTGAGCCACCGAGCCCGGCTGGGTTGTCAGCTTTTTAAAGGGATAGGCAGAAAAGGAGAAAAGTGATGATGTGATGAGGTGGGTTGTGGAAGGAAGGAAGGTTGAAGGATTTTGTGCCTGTTGGCTTCTATTTTCTTGAAGTCTGGAATGAAATGATCTGCTGAGACTGTGTGTCTGGAGTGGGATTTTAGGTATTAGCACGAGAGATAAGGATTTACATGATCTACTGTAAAAAATAGAAGAATAGACTTGGGTTTGTTTTAAGGAATGAAGTAATCCACATAGAGTTTAAAGTAGTCATTGGCATGTTGTAGCACATCAACTAATATTAACTATTTGGGTTTTTTTTTGTAATTTAATTAAAAGATACCACAATTAAGCTTGTAAAAATTTAATCACAATAACTTTTTCCATTTTAAGTCCACAGGTTCTTGGCCTTACACTAACACGATGATGTTGACTTTTAAAAAAATGTTTAGGCAGGGTGTGGTGGCTCAGCCTATAATCACAGCACTTTGGGAGGCTGAGGTGGAAGGATCACTTGAGGCCCGTAGTTTGAGACCTGCCTAGGCAACAAATCAAAATCCCCTATCTCTACAAAAAAAAAAAAAAAAAAAATTAGGTGGGCGTAGTGGCACATGCTTGTAGTCCCAACTACTAAGGAGACAGAGGCAAGAGGATCACTTGAGCCCAGGAGTCTGAGGCTGTAGTGAGCTGTGATTGCACCACTGCACTCTAGCCTGATCAACAGAGTAAAACTCTATCTCAAATAAATAAAAATAAAAATAAAGTTTAACAGTAATGCATTCACCTGAACAAAATTCAAGGGACTAAAATGGGCAAATAATAAAAAGGAAATGTCCTTTCCACTCCTGTTCCCTAACAAGTTGCAACCAAAGTTAGCAATATTCCTTCAAAGATAGTCCATACATATACATGCATAATATTTTATGTAGTTTATAAACATAAAAATTTTAAGCACAAGTGATAGCCTGCTATACCCATTCTTAGCAACTTGATTATTTGTATTTAATAATTAATAATGGAGATTGTTTCAAATTGGTACTTAGAATGAAGGCTGAAATTTTTTTTTTTTTTAAGAGATCCAGGGTCTCTCTCTGTCACCCAGGCTGGAGTGCAGTGGTGCAATCATAGCTCCCCGTAAACTCAAACGCCTAGGCTCAAGAGATCCTCTCACTTCAGCTTCCTAGGACTACAAGTGTATGCCACCATGCTCAGCTAATTTTTTAATTTTTAAAAAAAATTTTATAGAGATGGAGTCTTGCTCTGTTATTCAGTCTGGTCTCGACCTTCTGGGCTCAAGCAATCCTCTCACCTCAGCTCCCAAAGTGCTGTGATTACAGTTATGAGCCATTAGGCACAGCCAGTTGCATTATTTTTTATATCAGCTGTCCATATTTCATTCCACAAATGTGTCATAGTTTATTGAACCTGTCCCTAGATGGTCCTTTGGATTGCTTCCCAAACTTTCCTGTTGCAAATAATTCCATTATTAATTTCCTTGCAACTACATATTCGCATAAATATTTAAGTATATCCATAGAATAAATTATTAGAATTGGGAATTTGCTGAAATAAAAGGTAAGCCATGTTTTTAAAATGTAATGGAATTAATTGCAAGCTTATTCCTGATCAATCCCAAGAGTCTTTGATTCATTTCATTCACAGTATAGAATAAGAAAATAAATTTGATATTCAAGGAATGCAGTTTTGAGGCCAGGGCTGTGATTTACAATGTGCTTGGATGACTGCAAATCAAGCCTCCCGCAGCATGGTTTGCTTGCTCTTAAGGTTTAGCTTGACTTAGCTGCAAATGGGTCTTTGCATATGTGAAAGACAGAAAGATTCACATCTCTGCTAACAGTTTCTCCCTCTCAAAACTCTTGCTACCTCTGAAAGATAAATAGATGGCCTCCCCAACCACTGGATGGAAAGCTGCTGCCCACATCCCTGGTTCTCTATTACCTCTCCCTGCCTCATTTTGGCTTTCCCAGATATATAATAAGTAATATGTCAGATGGCTTATCATGATCTGACATATTACCTATTATATTTGTTTGGTTTTTAATTGCCACTCCAACTGTTGCTTCTGAACTGCCCTCAATCTTACCTAGTGATGCACTCAGTACATATTTCATACACATGTGTCATTGCTTCAGTGTGTGCCTGTCTTACCATACCCACCTCAATGGTTTAAAACCTTGTTGGATTGTTGGATTGAAGTTGAGAGTGAATAAGTTATATAGACAAATAACTTTAAAAATCTTATTGAGTTGTCTAAAATATGCTATTTTGTTTTAGAGTATAAATGGCTGCAAACAATATATTGAAATTCATAAATACATGTTGCTAAAATAATTATGTAATTTTATTCTGAGTAAATGTTATTACTTGAATTACATCAAACCATCTGTTTTGAATAATAGTTTTCTTCATTCTGTATGCAAAAATATTCCCCAAATGTTCATAATTAACCAGTTGAATTGAAGACCAATCTTAAATACATATGCCTTTGAGTTACTGTAATTAAAATAACCAAATTATTGTTTTCAGGTATACAAATAAAAAAATCTAGAAAAGTACTCAAAGTAATATATCCAAATTATGAAATAAAAAATGTAAGGCCATTATATAAAATGATTAGCACTTTTTGAAAAAATGCCAGTTTTTATTTTAAATGCATGTTTCTAACTGACTTTTTTTTTTAATCATGCTGTCACTCTGTCACCCAGGCTGGAGTACAGTGGTATGATCACAGCTCACTATAGCCTCGACTTCCTGGGCTCAGGCGATCCTCCCCCATTAGCTTCTGGAGTAGCTGGGACTACAGGTGTGTGCCATCACACTCAGTCAATTTTTTAATCTTTTTGTACAGATGAGGTCTCACTCTGTTGCCCAGGCTGGTCATGAACTCTGGGCTCAAACAATCCTCCCACTTGGGTCTCCTAAAGTGCTAGGATTATAAGCATGAGTCACTGTATCCAACTTGGCATTTTAAATAATAACTTAAATCATACACACTCAAAAAAATTAAAATAAATTAACTGAGTATAATGGGAGCTTTTCTAGAGCCCTAATCAGGGATGAAGTTTTGATCAGTTGGTGGTAATCTAGAGACACTATGTCTTTATTTTGTTTTAATCTTATTTTATTATAGAGATGTGGGGCACAAGTGAGGATTACATAACAGAGATACTACATCTTTAGGTGATGGGAAACATAACAATAAATTAGAATGTTTAAATTTTTATCAGTTTTCTTACTAGCCCATATACTTCCCCTTGCCCTGCGAAAATAAGTAGTATTTTAAATATGAGAATAATGTTAAGTATGAACACACATTGTTACGAGAGGATGGGCAGCTAAGGATGAAGTATAAGGTATTCCCACTCAGGGTGGGTCTCACAGGCGAGCAGACTGCCCAGTGTTAGTTGTGTAGTCCATGACTATGAAACCAAATCAAATAAAAAAGTATCTGCAAAACTCAAAATTTCATTTTGTACACAGAAAAGTTAATAATCCTGGCTGGCTTTATCTGTTGGTGAAGGAATTAACAGCAAGTAAAAGCAAGACATGCTGATGAATGACCTCTTGCCTTGATTCTGCACTGGGTTCAACATTGTTTTGGAAACCCCAGATTATTAGAGTATTGAGAAATGGATCAGCCCAGTGAATTAGAGGGGTCAGTCCGGAACAGGCTGGAGAGGCTGACAAAACCCTCAATTCTACCTCCTGAGTGTAGTTTAGATAGATGATAGAAAGATAGGTAGACAGATAAGATCATGATGATCAAGATAGATAGATACATAGATAGATTTTTAAAAAAGCTTGTTGGAAGTATTTCCAAAGTCAAAGGTGGCAAAAGTGACTTGACCATGCTTACCCTGATAGAATGAAGTGAACTACGAGTCTAACGCAGTATTTGGATACAAATCACATG